GATTATAGGTGAGTCGCCACAACCAGCCTCATTATTACTTTAATTTACCGTCCTTTGCCACTTTTTTTTTTTTTGAGACGGGGTTTTGCTCTTGTTGCTCAGGCTGGAGCGCAGTGGTACAATCTCAGCTTGAACTCTGCCTCCTGGGTTCAAGTGATACTTCTGCCTCAGCCTCACAAGTAGCTGGGATTACAGGAAAGCACCACTATGCCTAATTTTTGTGCTTTTAGTAGAGGTGGGGTTTCACCGTATTGACCAGGCTGGTCTTGAACTCCTATCCTGAAGGGATCCATCTGCCTCAGCCTCCCAAAATGCTGAGATTACAGATATGAGCCACCGTGACTGGCCTCATTTGCCACTTTCCTTGCTCGCCATCTCTTCTTAGGTCTTGCATTTTATTTCTGATCTTATTTTCTGTTTCCTGGAATAAACTTTCAGAAGTTCATTTAATGAGGACATGTTGATAGTAAGCTCTTTTTAACCAAAATGTTACTGGCCTGTTTTCCTGATAGTTTTGTTCAATACAGAATTCTAGATTGACACTTCAACACATAAAATATATACCACTCTCTTCTGTTTTTCATTGTTATTATCAAGTAGCTGTCACACTAACTGCTGTTACTTTGTAGATAATGCTTTCTTTCTCTTGCTCTTTTAGAGATTATTTTTGGTGGTTTGCTTATCAAGTTTCGCTCTGGTCTCCCACTTTGTCTATTATCTACAAATTAGCTGAATGGGTCTAGAGATTGATTTGTTTCCTTGATTCTCCAAATGCAAGGATGACTTTAATCAAATTGGAAAATTTATCAGCTAAAATACCCTCAAATATCATCCCAAACCACTGTATCATCTATTTCTGGTAGTCTATTAGATGTTCATTGTCCTTTCAAAATGTCCCTGTTGTTGAGTTTTCATACTTTCTAAATAATTTCATCTTGGTCTTTGGGTTTATTTTATCCATTTTGCTTTTCATGTCTACATATTTCACTGTTTTCAAATCTTATTTTTCTTGTCGTAGGCTCTGACAAGAGCCTCCATCCCCATCATTTTTTGTCTTATTCCTTCTCAATTTTTGGATAATCTTCAATTCCTTATACATACTGTATTTCAATAATTCTAAGCCATCAAGTACTGAAAAACACATCATTTTGTGCCAATTTAACGCTGTACTGCCATCCAAATTTTAGAGATGTTAAAAGAAATTTTGTGTATTTTCAAATACACTAATCCAATAATTCCAATATCTGCAGTCTTTGCAGGTCAGATTCTGTTCTAATTTATTCACAATGACTTTTCAAAACTTTGTAAATTTGAGTCCAAAATTATTAGAACACTACCTATGAAACACTACCTATTTGAGATTGTTTAAAATATCTTAAGAATGCATTAACATTTGCTTCTGTTAAGTGCCCAGAATAACTTCAAACCTGACCATGTTAAATTCTTAATTTTTTCTTCTTTTTTTTGCGACAGGGTCTTGCTGTGTCACCCAGGCTGTAGTGCAGCGGTGTGATTACGGCTCACTGCAGCATTGTCTCCCCAGGCTCAAGCAATCCTCCCACCTCAGCATCCCAAGTAGCTAGGGCTGCAGCTGTGCACTTTTTTGTTAAAAATGGTATGACTGGCCTAATTAAAAAAAAATTTTTTTTGTAGAGACACGGTCTCACTATGTTGCCCAGGCTAGTCTCCAACTCCTAGGCTCAAGCGATCCTCTTGTGTTGGCCTCCTAAAGTTCTTAATTTTTCAAACCACATGGGTAGTATGAGTTTGGCTCTAAACTGATTTGCCAGCTTCTGGGTACAAACCATAAGGTGATTTTTTTTTCTTCTCTCCATCCAGTGTTCTTACTTTCCTCTCTGAGGTAGCATATTCTGGTGCATTCTTTCACTCAGTGTATCGTCTTCTGAGGTTCCAGGTTTTGGAAAAGTGTCTCACTCTGAGTTCATATTAATGTTGGCCACTAGGCTTTCTCTTTTAGAGCTTAGCTCATTCCAACATCATCAAGAACAGAGACTGGGATAACTGTCAGGGAAAATGTCTCCTTTAATATTGTTATTTCTCTGGATTCATGCTTCTTTGTTCAATTCCACACTAAGCCTTTTATTTTTAAATTTCCCAAGTCTATAAAGAAGTTGAAACAACAGCAAAATACATGTTTACCTTAAACTAAGATTCACCAGCTGTTATTCTGCTGCATTTGCACTATCTCACAAATGCTTTATACACCCACAACAGTTTTACCTACTGGAAAACAGCAAAAAGAATACTTCATCCCTCATTATTCCAGCATGCATCTCTGAAGAAAAGGGACATTCTTTTATTCAGGCACAAAACCACTGTCATACCTAAGAAAACTATTCCATACAAGAATTCTTATACAAATTTTCTGAAATGTTCCTAAAATATGCTTAATGGCTGGGTTTAACTTCAAAATGAAATCAAAGTTCATGTAGTGCATTTGATTATACTGCATTTCACTGCATATTGATTATATTGCATTATTTTATATAGAACAGCCTCCTTGTTTTGTACTTTTTTTAAAAAAAAGAATGCAAACCAGGGGTCTTATAAATGTCCTACATTCTGATTTTGTTTAATCGGGTCAACATATGCCAAGGTCAAGTGTTCTTGGCAAAAATGTTACACAGGTGGTGAAGTGGGGCTTTTTGGGGTATCTTCCTTGCTAGCTCTAGCATGAGTTTAAAGATTTTCATTTTTTAACGAAATTTCATCCAGCATTTCAAGTGTTTTGTACCATTAGGAGGGTTCCTCAGGGCATGCAGTCTGCCATACTGTCAGAAACACACGCCCATATGTAGTATTGCCTTTCCAGATCTCTAATAGGAACGTGTTCACAAATGAAAGACTGCTGATACAATTACCAGGAACTGGGGCAAGGCAATATGAAAAGGGGATGCTTGAGACAAAAATCTTCCATTAGATGTTCTATCCTACTAATTTATGTTTACACTTAGTGTTCTCTAAAAGTCCAGAGTCTAATATGGGTGTTTGTTGAGTTTTGGAGTCTAAGGATCAATTAACATAGAATTACATTCATATTTAAGGGCTGAGGACAGACTTGAAAGATTTGAGTTCCAGTAGGAAAGCCTTTTCTTGTAAGTCAGTAAAAAGGCAGAAATTGCATTTTGAACCTGCCCTTCTGTGGCAACAGAAGATATGAAAAAAGAAACAATATTTGTCGAGAACTTGTGTATCAACCTTGTGCTATAAATGATCTTAATTCATCTCCATATTAATTTCATGAGCTGGATTAGACTATCCTCATTTTCACAAATAAGCCAAGTAAAACTCAGAGAAGTCATATTGGTAAAACAAGCGTTCAATCCCAAATCTGGACAATGGCAGAGGTTGTATTTTTTTCCACTACATAACATGCATCCAGAAGGGTAACAATTAGGAACTCCCATTCTGATATTTTACTTGATTCTTTAAGCCCTTAAGTTCTGAATAATCTTTTTAAAAAATGATTTTTTTTTTTTTTTTTTTTTTTTTTTTTTTTTTTTTTTTTTTTTTTTTTTT